CTTCTTACATCAATAAAAATAGGATTAGCAGAAGCAAAATGACTAGTTAAATTTTAATTTCAGATAAAAAAGATACTTTTTAAAATAAATATCTCCCATGCAATAATAGTTAGTTCTCTGAATTTTCAATTTAATTGAGTTTCTTGTATTTTATCGGAAAACCAATTAATTATAGATCTATAAAACTCAACCAGTGGGCTGGGGTTGTGGTTCAGTGGCAGAGCACTTGCCTAGCATGTGTGAGGCCCTGGATTTGATCCTCAGCACCACATAAAAATAAATWAATTAATTAATTAAAGTTAAAAATTAAGGAAAAAAACCTCAATTGAGGATTTTATTATACTTCTAATCTGGTAGCTATTGTCAATTTCCCTAGCATAGAGAAATGAAAAATTGTAATATCCATAATTCACTACTTCTGAATGTCCATGAATTTATCTGTTTCTTTTATGAAGTTTTTCCAATATCTGTTTTTCCAGGTTCTTCCCTGAGTGTTCCTGAACAATTGCTTTCCCTTCTCTGTTATATCATCATTTCACCATATGAGTCTCTTTAAATGAGCCATTTATATCCATAAATATGATTGTTAAGAAGTATCACAAGTATCCCAATTCAGGATGCAGAGTAAATCTGTGGGCCAAAGTTTATCTTCATTTCCTGGTGGAACAACTATTCCCTCTCTGGCAGCACTACCCAGCTTGCCTCAGATCCTAACACTGCTTCATACCAATGACCCTTCATCACTTGTCTCAGATTATTTGGCTCAATCACTGTTTCATTTTATACTTTCCTATGAATTTGAAGTCTTACCCCACTTGGGAAATCATTTTGGTTACTTCCCCAGCATAATCCTTCAGTTCCAAGCCTTAGCAGTTTATCTTCAGCCTACAGACAACCACACCAAGGACTGACACCTTCCCGGTTGATCTCTGTTTGCCTATGGAATTAATCAGTCCAGCCTGTCTGCTGAGGGATACGTCATTTATGGGAGAGGATTTGGATTCTGCTCTTGACATTCATAAGCAGGTTTACTACCATCCATCTTCTTATCTCTGGTTTCCAACAACATTTCAGAGAGCCAAGCTTCCCTTCAGCTACCTTTCTCTCATGTCTGTAGGACACCATGCTCTTTCATTGCCTCTTAGGTAAATGACTCTTTTCTGTGTCTTTGACAACTCYTATCCCTGTACTAAGCCTCCACATCTTGGTGGTTTCCACAGAATACTGCTCTTCTCAAGTTTTTTCTCTGGCTTTCCCTGGGCAATAGCATGGTTTCGCATGCCCAATAATCCTGAGAGTGGCCTAATGAATATATTTCAGCATGTTCCAAATACTATAATTTTAATTCGTCATTTAAAATTTCCAGTGTCATGTCAAACCAACCATTTCAAAGATGAATTATTAACAGTCTTACATCCAGATGTATTCCTCTCCAAATATTTTCCATAATAGTAAATGATTCCCTAGTCCACTTGGTTTTTCAAAATAAAACTCTGGGAATCACCCTTGATTCTTTTATTTCCCTTACATTTCTTACACAGTTCATCAATACGATAAGAACAACATATGTCTTGTCTTGAATCCTCAGTTCCATCCCCTCAGCAGCCAGTGGAATCATTGCATTTTAAATAATAAAAATAAGAAAGCTCTATAAGCTCTTCCTTGCTTAAAACACTTTTGTGTCTTTTGCACTATGTTTAGAATAAAATTGAATAACACATTAAGAATCACAAGCTTTACACAATTTGTCTTTGCTTAATCTCTGTTTGCTTTACATGCCCCTTTCCCCTCTTTTGTTGGTCATGTTTTAGTCCGTGTCCTACACCAGAGTCTTTTCTGCATCAAGGACCTCATGCCTAAGGCTTTACCTTCCTGGAATGTGCTTTTCCTGACTGTGTGAATGGCTTTGAGTCTTAATTCCCAGTAGCTGCCCCTAACATCTAACCTAAAGGAAACTCTCCTATCTTTCCATTTCCTAACAGCTGATACTTTGTAAGACTAATAATATGGATATATTGTTAATGTATTGACTTTTTAAATATCACAGTATTATTGTAAGCTTCCCAGGAATGGAATATATAATTAATATTCATTTTGTATCTGATTAACAGCAAAATGAAGTACTTTAGAAATACTCAATAAATATTTTTGAAATGAAAAATTAATTTTATAAATAATAAATTYTCTTCCTAAAATAGGGATGGAACTTCTTTGCTTATTGATGTAATTATAGAAATGTCTTAAATTTAGAGTTTTTGCTCTACTCTGCCAAATTCTACACAATAAAAGTCAATAAAACATAAGAAGTGTTGTTTATATTATTAACCAAATTTTCAGTTATTAACTTCAATCAAATAATATCATCTTTGGTATCATACCTGGATATGAAATGGACTAAACAAGTTTTTTTATATGCCTTACTTACCATATGGCTTGCAAACCTTCATTTCTTGCTACCAAATCTACTTGATTCTTGAAATAGGCCATTACAGATATAATAATACATATGCTGTGTAAATAATATTACAAAATTATAATCACCAGGTGACTTAAATTTACCTGACATTCTCATTCCAGGAACAGCCATTTCCAGCATGGGAACTTTAGCAGTAATAACATCTCGMTTACATTTTTCAACATCTCCATCATTTAGAACCATGTCCAAGATTTCACTAATCCAAGTGGTACCTGTGGGGAAAAAGCAATATTTTTATAATCAGCACTTAATTCCGGGGAGTAAAAGTAGAAGCTTGTGCTCTTATTACATTTTATTAGAAACTTAATCCTCGTTTCCATTTCTATATGACAATATCCATTTAATACATTGGAAATAGATGGTGGCACTAATGGATAGGAATGTTAACTTTACTTAGGATGATAATTTTACAAAGAAGTTGATTCCAGAAAACAAAAATTGAAGTCAGACCTGCATCAGTCAGGCTGCAGAGCTTACCTGATTTGGGGTAAGTGGCTATCACAATGTCATCTGGCCTGCTGCGGAACTGCTCAATCCTTTCCCAGTTGTGTGCAAAAGCATAAACCATGGGGCAGCCATGGACCATCTTCAGATTTTTTCGCAGGACATCACTTGGGGAAATCATTTTTGTGGAGAGTTGTACATATATATATATATACTTAGTAGACTTCCTACTAACAGTTAAATCATGGAGAAATAAAGAGAATAGACATCAGAATCTGAGTGAGAAATGTCATCCTGGAGACAATGCAATATAACAGAAAATAAAATTGGCCTTTAACACACTGAGTACACAAAGATCTAAATACAAAGAGCATTTTTGTGAGCATAAGGCCACAAATTGCAACAGCAGCAACTGGCTCAGTGACAAGCAGAACAAAGGTCTTTAACAGAAACTTCAGAAAGATATAGAACTACACATCTTATTTTCAATTAAAATCATGTTTCACAGAAATATACTAAATATCTGGATTTAGAGCAGAACAAATCTCTTACTGATCATTAACTTGTACGTTGTACCTCACTTTTCCTTTCAGAAAGTCTATTATCATTCTTACCCTTGCTCTGTAGGTAATGCATGTGTTTTCTCTATTTGCTTCTAAGATTGTTCTCCTTATCACTAGTTTTGCACAACTGAATTATGGTGTTTCTTGATATGGTTATTTGTGTGTGTATGTGTGTGTGTGTGTGTGTGTGTGTGTACACAAGTATAAACTTTAGCTATACTGAGCTTCATGGAATTTTGAGCTTATGGTTTCTATTAAATCTGAGTGATTTTTGCCATTATTTCTTCAATTTTTCATTTTTATTTGGTACCGTTGCTTTATATTTATCACATTAATTAACAATTATTATTCACTGCAGTCCACATGTAAGCACCATGTGCTATTGGTCCCATCTGAGTTTGTTATAACTGTGGAGTCGCAGGTCTCAATCTAGAACCAGAATTTAAATTTTAATAAGATCTTCAGATAATCTCTATTCTCTTAAAACTTTAGAGGAGACTTTAAACCACCTTTAACTTACTCTCTGACAGTGTAGGGTGTGTATAAATGGTTTATCACAATGAATTCAATACTTCCTAGAAAATACATTGCCTTGATTTTTGTCAACATGCATTTTTTCCCCCTAATTCTTATCCACTCTGAAGATGAATCTTTCATTTTGTGGACAGTTAAAGAACCAGAGCTTTGGAGTGTCTGCTCAAAGACAGAGAAAGGGTGACAACCCATGAATGGACTTTAGTCTGTTAACTTGATCATTCTGCACAGACTGTGGGCCCAACCCAGAGTTAAACATTGTCTCGAGTCTATCTCATTCAAATAAGGGTGTTCACAACTTGTAATGGCATTTTTCAACAAAGCAATTCCTCTCTGACTAAAAGTTCAAGCTGTTCATGTTAGAAAAATGTTGCCAGAGAAAGATGGAATGAGTAACAAAACACAGCGAGGAGGCCAGTTCTGACATATACCAGTCACATCTGGGATGTGGGTGTGGCCAATTCAGGAAGCTCCAGGGGATTAGACATGAGTTAGCATTGCTCACCCTGACCAGTGGCTGATGAATAGTTCAGAATTATAGGGGAACAGCCACACAGAGGGGAGRGGGCTGGAAAACCTAGGATGACTAGTGTCATTGACCAGATGTGCAGGAGGATGGTTTTCACTAAAATATAAAAATTATGTTGTAAAAACCTTTTAAAYCTACAGGAAAGTGGCAGGCAATTTTTGTGGTTGTAAAGTATATTCTACATGACATATAAAGTCTTCTTGTTCAACTTAAGCCATAGGCTTAAAATTAAAATGTCTAAGATTGACTTAAAGATTAATGGATTAAAAGAGAAAATGAAAAACAATACCGCTCTTAGAAGAAACTGAATCATCTGCCATTAAATATAAATAATTCTTTAATAAAAAGACACTTATTTCCATTCATTTAATTCTAACAAAATTCAACTCTATTAGATCCATATCTAATTCCAGCTCCCGAAATTAACATAGAAAAAAGCATATTCTGTATTCTGGAATATGCTTTAAAGTGGTAGTCTGTGTGAATGCSTGTGTTCACACATGTGTGCATGTATGTGAAGGGAAGATGGAAATTGAGGACTTGAATAGGATTTCTTTATCTGAAAGTACCTTGAAGTGTCAAAAGAAGATCCCCAATCCTGGCAACACTACGGAAGTATCCCAGTGAACCCAGAAAAAATAAAAGTGAATATGGAAAGCTTGAGAGATTTTACATAGCATAAACAGCAGTACTGAATATCCCATGGGAAAAATAAGAATCATGTGAAAGATGTTCAAATTATGAAACTGATAAAAACAGAAACTGTTCTAATGGGCACAATGCTCTGTAAATGTAGGACAGAATCTTTAAGAAAAAAAATCAAAAAGCAAATTTTACCTTACAATTTAACTTCCTTGTTCAGTTTTGTTTTCAGTCAGTGGTACTTACTGTGATGAGCCCTTGGAGTCAGTGGTGGCCCTGGAGACTTCAGCCGTAACACTAGAAAGATAAAAGAAGTCTAAGGACAGATCCAACACAGCAGTCAGTGAGAGCAGTCAGCGACTCCACAGGCAGTTACAATGTGAAGAGTTTGAACTACACACACACACACACACACACACACACACACACACACACCACACCACACCAGCGCCCTGCTGTCTCCACAGCTGGCAGAACCAGGAAGCCTGGGAAAGGAAATGGAGGAGGGTGGTGACTAGAAGTCAGCTCAGGCCAAGTTTGATTAGATTTGAATTCCCCCACAGGATACAAAGGGTCTGAGAGAAACTCAGCTGGAAAGCACACGAAGGGTCAGTGGATCAAAAATATTTTGCCTCACTACTAAGAATGTCTTGTAATAATTTCAACTATAATGAAAAGTRTTTGTGCTGTACGTTATGTTTTCATCTAAAAGAAACATGAGTTTCCAATATGCTGGAAAGATCAAGTGCACCGAATATACTCTAAATACACTAAAGATGAATATTTATTTGTTTATTTGGAGAACAGAAACAGAGATCCCATGGTGCTTTTTGTCACCCTAATTATTTCCATAACCTCTCAATTTTTTTTTTTTTTTTTTTAGTGTTAACTGACTCATATAAACAGAGAAGGAGTAAAGTAAAAGCTAGTAGTGTGTGTGAAGAGGGGCAATTTGGGGCCCAGAAATATACTCTTGTCTTCCATTACTTCAGGTACCTATAAGTTTCCTTTTAGTTCAGTTGCTGAAAGGAATTCTTTGATTAATGGCATTCAACGTAGATTTAGCTACAATGACAAGCACCAAGACATTGCCAAGTAGTTAAACTTAGGTAGGCCCAGGGGAGTCAGGAAGCCCTGAAATGTCTTTTATATCAGCGATTTTATTTACAGATTCTTAAGAAAAAAATTTCAAATGTGTTTTGTTTTTAAAAGACATTGCCAATTTATTCATAATTATTTGGGGATATTTAGAATACTTTTTCCAAAATTTCTTTACATACTCTTTTATAACCAAAAAAAAAAATGTATTGTAATATACACACTGATTTTAAGCTGAATTTTGCTATTATTATAAAAAATTATTTGTTACTTTGGAATAATTTTTAAAAGCAAAATAATTAAACCAAGTGAAATATACTTGGAGAAATCTGTACTAATTTAAATTCACATCAGCAGAATATCAACATGCCTTTATCCATCACAGTGATCAATATTTGATAAAGGTGAATTTGTGGTGGTGTATGATCTTAAAAATTTTTTTCATAAATTGTTTTACGTGGCTTTTTTTAGTTACATTCAAGCTGGATTGACTTAT